CTACCAAAAGTGATCTGAGAAGGTGAAACCACCCAACACTGGCTGCCATCATCTCTTCTTAACCTGTCCTAATATGAGCCTCAAGTTGCCAATTTATGGACTATCTGTGGCAAATATGTCATTTCCAGGTAATTTTTTATACTGTTCCGATTCTTTGTAACCCCCTTCTGCCATCCCTTTGTTTCTTCAATGTGGAGAAGGTATGCCAGCGTTAAGTCTATTGAATCCTGCCTTCCCCTTTATGAGGCTTCATGGGAAAAATTTCTTTCTGGGGGATCCTCAGACCAGAACATTATATTACTTTTGAATAATCAGTTTTGTTTTTATTGTGTTGAAACTTTAGACCACGTTATTGATAAGATCCCCTATTTTCTCTGGCTACTAGGAAACTCAGTGGCAAATTTGCAGCTGAACTCTAACTTCTATATAGGACCTTATGGTTCATAATAAATTATTTTGTTTATTACTATGACACATGGCTTCATTTTATTTTTCTGGCCTTTAACATTTCTGTCACCCTGATTTCCTCACCTAATTACTTTTAGTTGTGATACATTTCTGTAAGTGTCCTCAAATACTTTTTAATGAATTATAAATAAACTATGTTAACATAGTGTTAGCATAAGTAGGAAGCTAATGACTATAAAAATTATACATTACATGTTGAAGCCAAAAATGAATGATTTTGAGTTAGTCATCGTCTCACTAGCCACAAATAACCATATACTTAATGCACATAAGATTTAATGAGAAATCAAGCCATGTGATCACCTTGATAGGAAAAAAAAAGGCATTGGATAAAATTTAAAACCTACTTAGAAAAACTCTTAGCAATCTAGGACTAGAAGGGAACCCCTTTAACCTTTTAAAAGAAAACTACTAAGAATTTATAGCAAGTGTAATATTTAATGGTGAAATTTTAGAAACATTCCCATTGATATCAGGAACATTACAATGGTGACTACTACGTGTTACTGGTTTTATCCAAGAGGTCTTAGCCATTGCACTTGGATAAGAAAAGGAAAGAAGTAAAAAGATGGCAAAGGTAGAGCAAAACTGTCATAATATGGTCTTCCTTTGAGAAAACTTAAAACAAGCCTTAGAAACTATGAGAACTAAAAGGAGTCTATCCTGATGACCTCATTAATCCAATAAATTATCTAATGCAGAAATGGTCCTATCTCCAGGCCACTTCTTTTTTTTTTTTTTTTTAATTTTATTTATTTTTTCCCCCAAAGCCCCAGTAGATAGTTGTACGTCATAGCTGCACTTCCTTCTAGTTGCTGTACGTGGGACGTGGCCTCAGCATGGCTGGAGAAGCAGTGCGTCGGTGCGCGCCTGGGATCCGAACCCGGGCCGCCAGCAGCCGAGCGCGAGCACTTAACTGCTAAGCCACGGGGCCGGCCCGCCAGGCCACTTCTTAAATGAGAAAATTATTATTTCCTTTTAGTATTTAAGCCATTTTGAGTTTGGTTTTCCAGTTACTTGCAACAAAAAACATTCAAACTGATTCTGATTCTGTGCCAAGCACAGTCCTGGATAACTGAGCACATTATTGAAACAACTTATAAGCATCCCCATGCATCATCTAAATGTAAATGGTTTATGCTTTTTAAAGGAAAGTGTGGGCCGGCCCCGTGGCTTAGCAGTTAAGTGCGCGCGCTCCGCTGCTGGTGGCCCGGGTTCGGGCGCGCACCGACGCACCGCTTCTCCGGCCATGCTGAGGCCGCGTCCCACATACAGCAACTAGAAGGATGTACAACTATGACATACAACTATCTACTGGGGCTTTGGGGGAAAAATAAATAAATAAATAAAATTATAAAGGAAGCTGTGAATATTCTGAAGTATTTTCACTGATGTAAGAGGACAAAGTTACAAGCTATTTGGGGGTCTGGCTAGAAAAATATTTTCTCTTTTGCTTATGGGAAGATGCAGCCTTGTACTCCTCTCTGTTTTTCATGTTTGTGGCCCCATCACTTCTATCTTTCTCCATCTTTGTTTTGTTTTGTTTTTTTGAGGAAGATCAGCCCTGAGCTAACATCCATGCCAATCCTTCTCTTTTTGCTGAGGAAGACTGGCCCTGAGCTAACATCTATTGCCAGTCGTCCTCCTTTTTTTCCCTTTTTCTCCCCAAAGCCCCAGTACTATGATAGTTGTATGTTGTAGTTGCACATCCTGCTAGTTGCTGTATGTGGGACGCCGCCTCAGCATGGCTGGACAAGCGGTGCGTCGGTGCGCACCCGGGATCCGAACCCGGGCCACCAGTAGTGGAGTGTGCACACTTAACCGCTAAGCCACGGGGCCGGCTCTCTCCATCTTTAAAAAAGTATTTAACAATACTCTTTAGATCAGCCTCTGGCAAAGTCAACCTTGGTGTCGACTTTAGGAAATTAATATAATTTAGACATAATTTTTTTTTCTCTCACAGAAAACAGGATTTTGAAATTGCCTTTCCTTGGTGTTGCCCTAAATCCTGAATAAGCCTAATAGGGAGTATGATAGAACTTGCAAATGTTTTTCCAACTAATAAAAATGTGATTCCAAGCTGAGCTTTGAATTCCAGCAGAGTCTAAATTAAGTAATATGTACAAAAAGAGACTCAAAATACTTCAAAGCACAGCTTATAAAAACCAACATCATGGTAAATCTATACATGAGTTCAGGGATTGCCAAATTAATGATGACTTTTTTCTCTTGATTTATGAGTTACCCTGGGACCTCCGTTTCTGTGTAAAGCAAATGCAGAACTTATTAATAATGTAAGCAGCTCTAGGGCCCCTTCACCATGGCAGTGAGGCTCTTGTTTAAAACCAGAACTGTTTCCTTTAATACTTTAATGGATTAGATTTGTTTAACTTACTTTATATAGTGCTCAATGCAGTTCCACTGGCATATGGATGCTTAATAAATATTTGATGATTGTGACTATGACTGCATAGAATATATCTTAATGTCCACAGGAAAACGATAAAGTACTTTAAGCTATTTTACTCTAATGAAATAACAGAAGGAGTGTCATGCCTTTTCATACCAGTGCCTTGTTTTAAGAAAATGCCAGATAAAAGAGAAGGTACAGGAATTAACATCTATTACCAACCATGTGCTGAAAATTTATATAACATCTCTATATAATATTTTATTTAACCCTAACCATAATCCTTTGGATTAGGTACTGGGATTCCCATTTTGCTGAATCTCAGATGCCACTGACTGAGTGATGAGGCAATATTTTATGTACCAATAAGAAAAAATTCAGCAAATGAAATTATGATACACCATTTGTAAGATGTACCCTGATTTTAGATGTCAAAATGTAAAAATAACACGCATCTCAAAAATAATAACAAAACACCATGCTGATAAGAAAATTCACCTAAGTCACACAGCCAGTTAGTAGCTGTGGCAAAGACAAGCTAGCAGTCCACCAAAGATTCGTGTTCTCCTTCCATAGTGTGGAGTTCTTACTGAGAAACAGCTTTCCAGCCAGAAACTACACTCTCCACCTTCCTGAGCTCTGACCAAGAGAATGTGAACATAATTAATGTTGTCACTCCCAGGCCAAAGTAGTAAAGAAGCACAAGTACTCTCTCCATCCTCTCTCTTAGCCTATCTACTATTTATGTTGGTGCCTAGGGTGATCTTAGAAACTACCTATGGAATATGGCAAAGCCTCTGTGTCACAGCCTGGTTTCCTACACGACCACAAGGAACAGAGCCCCACCAGTACCCCCAAACCATCATGTCAAAGAGGGATGCCACATTTGATTTGACATGAGCAATAAGTAAACTTTTATTGTGTCAAGCCACTGTAATTTGAGGCCAGTTTGTTATATCAACTAGAATGACTCCAGACGATACAGTGGCAGAATCAGAATTTGAATGTCAAGTTCCAACGCCTGGGCTTATTCTGTGACATCACGCAAATACACACCTCCAAACTTACCCCTTCCAAAACAAACAAAAAACCAAAACTACACAGGACTGATCGCTTCATTTTAAATCGGTTTCATCAGTTGGTTTGAAAGAATGGGCAGAAATCGATAGATTTAAGAATGGTCTATTTCAGAGAGAAAATCCAGAGAGGGACAGCTCAAGTTGTGTGGTATAACAGCACAGATGTGAGAAAAAACAAAGAATGAGGGAATGATTTTCAAAGTGATTAAAAGTGACACTTACATGTATGCTGTCTTTTTTGGTCCTGTCTGAGTTTAATACAGTTTGGGTTCAGGTAAAGAAGATTCAGGTAGTTGTTATAACCCCAGCCTACTAAACGGTTTCATATCTTGACATAAAGGTGACCCTGTTACCTGAAAGAGCTTGAAGCAAAGGAAAGGGATGAAGGAGCAGCTTGACTGGCAATGGATGAAAAGGAAGGAAGGGAGGTGATGGAAAATGGAGAGGTCTAGAGCACAGGTTCTAGATTTACGTCAAGAGTTTGAACCATGGTTCCACTATTTCTTATAAAAGAGTCCATGACTCTGGGCAATCATTTAATTTAACCTCTCTAAAGGTCAATTCTGTCATCTATGATGATATGATAGAATGTACCTCATAGGTTATATGAGAATTAAATGAGAAAATGCATGCAAAAGGCACGTACCGTCCACGAGTGAGTATATACTCAACACTAGCTGTTATCACTCTTGCTGTCATTATTAATCACCAGCTTCCTTTCCCACCTAGTTGCAAACAGCCAAGTGGGCTTTTAATGTAAATCTCTTCTACAGACAGACAGTGCAATTCCTTGGAAGCAAGTCTGCCTTCAGCTGTGAAACCAACTGAGGTTACAAGCCTGAGGAAGTTTCCGGGTCAAATTAAAAAATAAAAATTTCTTAACACGTCTTGGGGAATGACAAGCAGAGCAAATATAAAGCTGTGTTTGGTACTTGATATTTCAAACACCAGTTTCACTTTGTTGCTTACATAAAAATACACTTTTTTTCATTTCACAATATTATAAGGAATAAAAAGAAAGAAAAATAGCAAAAAACACTTACCCTTTGTTTTTCATTTGAGCCCTTTTTATTGGTCTCTTTTCTGCTTTCATCTTCATAGACGAGAACAAAGTCAATTCTTCTCTGGCCATCGTTAAAAAAGAGGGAGTCCGGTTTTCCATTAAATTCTGCCTGTGTGGAACAGAAAAACAAATTTTAATATAATTTTTTGCAAAAGTGCCAATTTATAAGTGTTTATTTTCTAGCTTTAATAGGTACATTGATGCATTTACAGAGCAAGAGAAATACATCCATTGCTAGCTCCTTGACCAAGAAGAGGTCATGGGCACCACGATCTTCACAAGCATAATCTGTTCTTGGTGAAAGGAAGTCCTTGAATTGAGCAGTTTAGCATTATTTTACAAACACATGGGAAAATATCAGTATTATGTATTTTAACATAATCATCCCAGAATTATTTCCACCTCAACAGCAAAAGGAGTACTAAGTTGGAAGTGAACATAGTCACCAGAGGTGCCTATCTGAAGGGCTGAAGTTCATTTAACAAGAAGAAAAATCTAAGACAAAGTACTGTTTATAAAAATCTCATCCTTTTTATGTCGTATTTTCTAACCTTTTTATCATTTTTCATGACTTCTCTCAGGACCTCACTCCTTTATATAAGGTATCACTTTATAACCTTAAACAAATGCCAGAAGATGCTTTGATATACACAAAAGCTACACCAGTTATTGGTATTTGTCCCCAGATCCACAAAAGATACCCCCTTACTCCTAGCAAAACAAACAAAAAAACCAGCAACAACAACAAAATAAATGAGCCTTTAATTTAGAACTTAAAAGCCATATAGCTCAAAAACAAAGAAATAACAACAGAACACAGACCTAATACAGTTTTTAGTGTGTGTGTGTGAGGAAGATCAGCCCTGAGCTAACATCTGTTGCCAATCCTCCTCCTTTTTTTTTTTTCCCTTTTTCTCCCCAAGGCCCCAGTAGATAGTTGTGTGTCACAGTTGCACATCCTCCTAGTTGCTGTATGTGGGACACCGCCTCAGCATGGCCAGACAAGCGGTACGTCAGTGCGCGCCCGGGATCCAAACCCCGGCCACCAGTATCAGAGTGCGCATACTCAACCTCTAAGCCACGGGGCCGACCCCTAATACAGTTTAAAACAATCTCGATTGCCATATGGATTTGGACAGAATTGTTTTACTTTGATCTAAGGAAAGATTTGAATTTGTGTTTCTCACACAGCTTGTCAGGATGCTTACATGAATTTTGTTGTTGTTTAAGAACCAGACTGCTTTTTAACCGATAAGTAATATTTTCAAATTTTCAAATTTTTTTAATTAAAAACTCATGGGGAGATTGCATTTTGCAGTCATTTGGCAGAACCACTTAATCATTAAGTATGATTAATTCTCCTCTGCAGTCAGTGTCAATTTGTACAAAAATCACCTAATTTTACTACCACTTCCTTTTCTTCACACTTTTGAGAAGACATAGTTTTTGCTAAAGGTATACAATCTGACACTTGTCATTTCTTTCCTCTTTTCCACCAGGGAGGGTGTCAAGGTTTTTTAGTAGTATTCGAGGCTTCTCCCATTTAGCAGGTTATTCCACCTGCAGAATGCACACTGCTAATGTAACCTAACTCAACACATCTTCATCACAGCCGCATTTAACCAGGGATGCTAACCACAAAAGTGTGACTTTGCCTGGAGACCTTTCCTAGCCAGGGCACTGAGGGGCCAGGGAAACAAACACACCCATGTCTTAGGCTGATGCCACTATCCAATTCTTTTATTTGCGGTTTAGCTATTTAAGACCAATAAACTTTCTTTAAGAGTATTTAAAGCTACACAAAAATGCTAAGGCCTCTCATTTTCATTTCAGCCACAGAGTCCTCGAGCCCCCTTCAATTTCTCTTCCTTTCAATGAAGATGTTAGTACTGGTGACAAGCAGGGCAGTTGCTAGAGGAAAATTCTATATAGAGGGAAACAAAACAATGAATAATTTCTCAGAATGGCAAAGAGGAGTTGGGGCAGGGTGGAACACAGTCATAGTCACAAAAACCTGGTCAACATTAGATATCTGAAAAGTGTACAAAAGCAACTTGTTCCCTGTAGTTCACACTCTGTTGCCTTTGGTGGCATTCAGCAGGAGCTCACTGAAGTCAAGTTCTGAAGAATTAGGCCTGGAATGAGAAGCACACCTGCACACAGCTCCGGGCACTCCTCCTCGCACGGACATTGCTCAGCTGCACAGGTTGGCAGCTGGCTCCCAGGTAACATGGTCTGCATGCACATCTCTCATGTGTGATAGAAGACCACGGCCCTTTGTTTGGCAAAAAAACCCACAGACTTGGTAACAGTTGTCTGAGTGAAATAACTAGGTCAAACTCGGATACAGTATTATTAGAATGCAATGCCAGGGAAAAGACTGCCCTTCTACTGTCGTGAAATCCAGGTTTCCCATCTCTTGGCAGAAGACATTCCACTAGGCAATTGGGAAGAAAGGAGAAACTAAACCTGGGCTGGAAAGAACAGGTAACAAACAAGGGAACTAGGCTGAATAAAAAAAGACTGATCTACGAACAAAACTGTGCTGTTAAAAAAAAAAAAGGCTGGATTTTTCAGTAATGAGTTCTACTGCAGGCCTAACTCACCCAACAGGAAACTGAAATGACAGAAAACTAAAAAAATAATTCCTCTCCTGAAGTTTTGCTTTATATGAAGTAAAATTTCAATAATTTCTCAAGATAAATACTGATAATCTTCAAGTTACTGATTATTCAGAGATGGATTATTCAAGGCCTGACCTCTATGCCTTCTCTGGGAATCTACTCAAAACATGATCTTTAGTCTTTTCTATCAAGTCAAATGGCAACGAAATGAAATACAAGAAACCCAAAACCCAACTTTCCTGTGCAGCAGCTTAAATTGAAAAACACTTGAAGAGAAGGTTTAAAATTTATCAGGTACAAACATTTTAGAGATCAGAGCTTATCTATGGTTACTGACTTTCCTGCTAGGAAACTTACTAATTCTTACACTTATCAGGGTGTAAGAATTACTTACTAATTGTTACCCTGAGGGTCTTACAAAAATGTCTCCAACACCAAGGAAGTAAACAGAGTCTCTAGCTGTTAATACTTCTTTCCTCCTGGAAAAAAATACCAAGTAAATTTCTAATTACAGTTTGGAGTCTATACTACGTTGTATCTATTCAACTCATCGCCCTCTCTGGTCCCGAGAATACTAGATTCCACCAATCTAGCATCATTTACTCATTTGCAGCAACCAGACCTAACACTGTATTAAAAATTAAAGGCTGCAGTAGTTAAAAAAACTACCTATGTTCATTTGTCATTGTATCAAAATAAACCAAAACCATGCTGCCAACCATTGCGGAATAGTGACCTGACCTCCTCTGTCTTTGGCTGTTGGTGTTGACATTTCACACTTGGGATGAAGAGGAGACACACGTGGTCTGACCAAGGGGCGATCTGAGAACTAAGAGCTTGGCCGAGTAGCGCAGGAGAGAAGAAGGGAGGTCAGGTGTGATTCACACAGTGATGTTTTCCAGGCCTCCCTTCTCTCAGCTGGCTTCTCTCCACCTTTTATTTGTGGGGCAGATCCTTCAGCAAAAGAGCCCATAAGGGGCAGGATCCTCCTTAATCAAATCAGAATAAAAATGCAAGCAGCAAAATTACTCTGCCAAGCGCTTTCAAGCTACAGTTGTAAGTTTGAGAACATGAAAAAATACGGTTTTCTGCTATTAGCTAGAAGTACATGTGGTATCAGTTCCTGTCCCTAGAGCTGGTTGAGACCTCCGTACGATAGGACAGGTGGTTGAGAACGAATTTCCTGGTGGACAGAAAGACAAGTCCAACGATGAGCAATTTCCAGGAATTACCTGGTAGGAAAATTTCTCATAAGCAATCTCTGAATGAAATAAGGCATTGGATTTCTCCCTGATGCTTCAGGTATATGCAGGGTTACATGATTACATCTGAAGAAGGGCTGGGGTATGAGAGCATCTGGGACACTGCTGCCTAAGAGTATTGCTCTGTGGCATTTAGGTCAGGTATAGGGGAGCAGCCCATCTTACCAAGCACCCTCCTGGAATCCTGGCATGAGCACTTGGTGAGTCCATGAAATAACTCGCTGCTTAACATTTGTCCAACCTCACACTTCTCAAGTGTCTACAAAATGGGTTCTCAAATAACTCTGCAAAACCAAGATTGGAAGTCCCGTAGAGTTTACAATGCTGAATTTAAATTATTTGTCTGAGATCCAGATTAAAAAGTGGTCTTTGCTCAAACTCTTGTTTATGTGTAAGGGTGTTGGAAACTTGGACAGTAAGTGACCTGGTCTGACTGAATTTCCAAATAGTCTATTCCTGCCCTGATATGGCTGTTGTTTACTATGAGATTGAAAAGTATTGCAGGCTTCTTTGGGCTAATGGTCTTGACCTTTACACAGAGCAGGATGCAAGAAAGTTTCATTGTCTAACAATAATATTAGGAATTACACCACAAAAAATAAACAATATCAAAACACTCACATAATAAATTTAAAAAGCAGTTGATACGTGAATGTAGAAAACACATGTGGGGCCGGCCCCATGGCTTAGGGGTTAAGTGCACGTGCTCCGCTGCTGGCAGCCCGGGTTCGCATCCCCGGCGCCCACCACTTCTCCGGCCATGCTGGGGTCGCGTCCCACATACAGCAACTGGAAGGATGTGCAGCTATGACATACAACTATCAACTGGGGCTTTGGGGGGAAAAAATAAATAAATAAAAATCTTTAAAAAAAAAAAAAAGAAAGAAAACACATGTGGCTCTCTGCAGTCTTTAGGACCAGCAAAACAAAGTAATTAATTCGAAGAAGAACACAACAGAAAAAAAAAAACTTTAATCACAGCAGAGAACTAAAGTGAAAATACAGGATCTTCTATTTTTCAGTAAACCCTGAATCCATGCACTTAGCAAGTTCTAGGGAAACAAAAGTGTAGAAGCAAATGCCTTTAAGTAAATATTTAGGTATCACAAAACATGGAACATAATGAAATTTTATTTCCATGCCATGCAGCTATGAATAGATCTATTCCCTAAGTGTTTTCCCTAACTGTAGCAGAGTTCAGGCAGATTCAAGACATAAGCAAT